CAGAACAACGCATAAATATATCCGGAGACCCTTTTGCCTCTACAGAATCACGCATAAATATATCCGGAGACCCTTTTGCCTCTACAGAATCACGTAACAGAATAACGCGTCAATATGACATCCGGAGACCTTATCTCTACAGAAATCATGCAACAGAACAACGCGTCAATATGTCCGGAGACCCTTGCTCGTCTCCTCACCAAAGGTGGGAGCTCATAACTCGTCCTACCTTCCGTGGACGGTACAAAAAACGCATGAAGCGGCTACTGCAACGGGCAAACGAACCAAAAAAGGCACTTACACACTCACCCTGAACCACATAAGAAGTACAAGTAATGACTGTAAATGTAAATGAAATGACACCATCTTAATCCCAACACATAAATCAGTAAGAAACACACCTAAAACGGTCGGCAGAGAGCCAGAACTGCACAAAAAAGGTGGAAACTCAGCTGCCAGTCTAAAAAAAACAAAATATGTAAAACAAGGCCTTCATATATAAGAAGATGTGATCTTGTACTCTGCATGCAGTCATGTATCTGCATAGCACCGGACACATGAAGTTTAGATCAAATTCTCAAACATCGCCGGAAGCGAATGGTCGACCGTCATGAAAAATGGGGAAAATCCGCTCAGCCCCCCTCGTTCCGACACTACGCTCTCCAGGAGGGAGTGAACAGCGGGGGCTGCTGCTGACGTTGCCTGTCCCGGAGGAACCATTCGATTCGCTCTGAGAGTCGGCGATTAAAGTAAAAAAGGGTCGATGGCGTTGCGTTGTCCAGTGTGTAGCGACCCGCCACTGAGATATATTTCTCGGTGCTTACCTAGAAACAAGGCTGCTTTTCTGCTTCTCCTTGGGGAAGAGAACTCACCGGGACGGCAGGAGGTTGGCGTGGTGGGACCACAGGTATCCTTAACAAAGGTTGTGCTGGTCAAGCTGGACAACTTCCCTTCTTCATTCTTCTGACAGTGCTTTTAGCTTGCTGAAGAAAAATGGGAGACGATTACCCGCTCTTAACGTAATTTATACGGACCAGGTGGGACCCACACAACAGGTGGGCGTGGACTAAATTTTTTCAGTGCAATGCTTTGCATGACAGGATAAAACCCACCAGCGACAGCCTTAAGGGGGCGAAGCCTATACAAAATAGAACATTGGGAGCATATATTATACTCCTACAATTTATCATACTGCAAATAAGTCACAAGAAAAACTAAACTATTAGTTATTATTATTAAGCTGCAAAAGTGAACGAAACGTGCGGCACGTCAAAAACGAAACAAAAACAGGGGGGCGGTCGACCACCCTGCACTACTGCCCGCAGTGTTGCGCATTAGGTTTAGTTTTAGAGATTAATATGTTTATAGGTTTTTTTATAGGTTTAGAGATTAATATTTTTTGCTTTTTGTTTGTGAAACAAGGTCAGAGGAAGCTGGTTCTGGTTCGGTCGAGTGGACCCAGTGTTACACAATATTCTGTGACCTGCAACAGTGCATGCAACACCACCCCCTACGGTCACAATATACGGTGGTCACAAAATATGGTGTAAAACCGGTTCTCAATGAGCTTCAGACAGTTAGGAAGTTTATTTATTTTATGTTTCCTTACAGTAGTTGAACCGGAAGATTCAACTTTAGTGAAATATTTCCATACTATTGATGCATTTCTACCTGTTTGCCAAGACTGGGCCTGCTCTGCTCCATCTGTCTGCTGGGAGGAATCCATTTTGTAACCCATGCCCGGTACGACTCACGTGACGTGACACAATGACGTAATGGTGACGTAATGATGTCACTACGAATACTCGACATGAAATTAAAAAACTCGATAGATGTCCTAGGAATCGATGTGTAGATTACTTGAGTAGTCTGTTAAAGCCCTAATACTGGGATTAATTGTAAACACATACCCGGTGCTTCTCAAAGTACAAGATCTTGCTTAAAATGTTTTGTCAGTTTTTTTTTTTTTTTGTTAGAAAAATATGTCAGGAATAACAAGACATATTTAAATGAAACACTCTCAAAGTAAATACTAGATGTATAATTGATCAACCTTTATAGTTCTCCCATTTCAAGATGGCCACCACAGGTGTTAAACAATTAGCCAACACAAAAATGGCTATAATTCAGATACTGAGCTAAAATTTGTTGTAGTTGTAGTTGAGCATCATGCACTACACATACTCTAAGTATAAAATATCACAGTATCAAATGATCCATTCATCCATTATCTTTATCAGCTTCTTCTTTTTCATGTTGCGGGGATCACTGGTGCCCATGTCCAGCAGTCACTGTGTGAAAGGTGGGGGACAGTTTGGCCTGTTTGGACAGGTCGCAAGTCCATCACAGGGATACATAGAGACAAACGAGACCAACAACCATTCACTCACACCTAGAGACAATTTAGAGTTACCAATCAGTCTAACATGCATGTTTTTGGTCTGTGGGAGGAACGTGGAGTACCTGGAGAAAACCCACGCATGCACGGAGAGGACATGCAAACTCCACCCAGAAAGTTCACGGGCTTGGATTTGAACCGGGACGATCTGCTCGCTGAGAGGCAGCTGCTCTACCAACTGAGCCACCGTGCCGCCCTGTCAAATGACATTTCACATGAAGAAATTTTCAAGATTTGACCAAAACAGCTATAATTCTGTCTTTCCTCAACATAAGATGATCTTAATCTAAAACTCTGACATGAATGGCATACTTCTTTCATGGCCTTTAATTTAGTCTTAAAACTACTTAACAAATAAATCAAATCACTAGCATGTGATAGGAGTATGTTTGAGTGAAGGAACCAATAGAACGAAGGTATAAAACTCACTCTGGATGAAGACTGCTCTGCCGGCACTTTCTACATGAATATCTGCCTGTCCAGGGATCATTTGCCACACTTCATTTAGTCCATGGGCTCAGAGTGGCAATTTCAGCCAAATAATCACAGCACCCCCAAGAGGGAGACAGGTGTTTCACACTCTAAGAACAAAGCCTCACCCTCTCATCTCGCCACTCGTAGTCCTTTCAGCTTCCTCCTCCACCACCTCACACACAAGTGCAGATAAGGGACACTTGCTTTGTTTCCTTGCAGTGTCAGTGTAATGTACTGCAGGTTTGAAAGGAGGGTAGTGGAGATTGGAAGAAATACTGCTTACTGTTTTCCTAGCAGTGCGTTGTGGGAATTTCAGGCTGATAGAGGGGAGTTCCAGGCTGAACTGACAGTGACACATGGGTGCTTCTCAAATTTAGGAGAGACACATCTCAAAGTCCCCATAGAGTCAAGCTCAGGCCGAAACTAAATCCTGTTATTGTAGCTTTGCAGCGTAGTTTGCTGTGTGCTCTTTCCCGCATATCCTTCTATTAACTCAGTCTGACATATCCATAAGGATGATGGAAGGCTTGGCTTTTTCCAATACTATTCGCTCGCCTGGACAAAATGAATAGAGCAGTGCATTTTGATGAAATCTGCCTGAATCTTAATGTGTTTCAGAGCCGACCATCATCACCACCCAACCCACCACACTGGACATCTCGGTTGGGGAAAGTGTGGTTCTACCCTGTCAAGTAAGCCACGACCCGTCTCTGGAGCTCAAGTTCACCTGGTTCTTCAACGAGCAGCTCATCCACTTTGGAAGCCACGGTGAATTCTTTGAGAAAGTGGGGGGTGTAAGTCCTTTATCCATCTTTTATACAGTGCTTCCTGCCAACCTACAAGACTATACATTTTTTAAAGATGCTGTCTTATTGTTAGAGCTGATTTGACAGTTAGTTACATGAATTACAAACAGTCCAACTATAAGAATGTTTTCATTCTTTAGACACTGCAGCTGTTATAAACATGTAAATATGAAATTTTCAGATAGGTTGGTATAAAGTTAGAATAGGGTTTGTCAAGATTTTTCTCAAAGATGCTTTGTCCAGCTGGAATGAGGTTAGAAGCTTACATATTCTTATCATGAGCATGGGGGGAGGGGTGATTAATTTGAATCTACTTGTTCCTGTTGGATTGATTAGACATAACAAAAGTAAAATAATAATAATAAAACAACAACTGGGTGCACATGTTTGAATTATTGGTGGAATATTCAAATCCTCCCGGGTTCAAAATGATAAATTCAAGCCTAAATATATCTATACCTTTGTCTATATTTTTAATAAGTAGTGCTAAAGGTCCTAGAATGCAAAGGCCTAATAACATCTTGTTAATGATCATGCTTGACTGCTGCTGACAGTTTCTCTTAAAAGATTAGGGTTAGGGTTAATGGACTGAAGAATGCTCAGTGAAATGGGAATGTCCAAGGAAATCAGTGATGATCAAATAATGAGTAGTACATTTACACAAGTTGGAAGAATCGTTCGAAGCTCTTTCTAAACCACATCAGATTCAAAGAATGTATAATAACTGAAATAAGTATTTCTAACATTTGTAAGTATGTGATTCAGATGTGTCACTGCTTTACCAAAGTCTGGTAGAAGGCCCAAAGAGTATCAGATAAAATAAAATTGTTTATTATGTTCAGAAATTACCCAGAAACCACCAAATCTAAAGCCTGCCGTGAACTAGAAACAGTTGAAACTCCAGTGTCCCTGTCCACAGTGACCAGTTTTACATGGACTAAGAGGCTGCTGACTAGAAAAGAAGCTTCTGCTTTAAAAGTGGCACTTTCCAGTTTAATCAACAGATCACATAACTTTATTGAGGAAAGTTTTCAATTCAGTTCAGTTTATTTATATAGCACCAAGTCACAACAGAAGTTATCTCAGGACACTGAACAAATACATTCATAAAAGAAACAAAATAAACTAAACAATTATCAACATTGTTTATCTAAGGTAGTGTAGCCAGCAGATTGTGTTGAGTCTTCACTTAGTCTCAGTCTCCCATCCTGAGCTAATACAAAGGCAACAGTGGAAAGAAAAACTCCCTTTTAACAGTAAGAAACCTCCAGCAGAACCAGGCTCAGGACGAGCATCCATCTGCTTCGACCGGGGGTTTGAGAGGACAGAAAGGTGAGACAGACAGAGAATGGCAGGTCCAGAATGGAGGCAAGCAGGTCTTTGTATAGGAGGAAAGACAAAAAGAAAAAAAAAAACACATAAGATAAAATAATTATAAATGCAAACTACTCATTTGTATAAATTTGATGAAATGAGGTCAGTTTGTCCTCCAGCAGTCTTAAGTCTATAGCAGCATAGGGTAAGGGACAGGTCAGGAAACCAAGTCAACCCTAACTAAAGGATTAATCAAAAGAAAAGGGAAAGACTTAATAAATAATAATAATAATAATATTAATAATAATAATAAATACATTTTATCTGTATAGTGCTTCTTTGAGTTCTCAAAGACGCTTTACAGTTCAAAAAATATATAAAATCAACATGCAACACAACACATAAAACACATGAAAACACAAAAAAACGCAAACACATAAAAACACAAAAAGGCTTAAAAACACGAAAACACATAAAAACATAAAAATGCATGAAAACACAAAACATAAAAACACATTAAAAAGGGTAAATATAAACATTACAAGCAAATTTAAACAGGTGGGTTTTGAGTTCTTTCTTTAAAGTGGTAAGATCGGGGCAGGCACGAAGCTGTTGGAACAGTGAGTTCCAGAGGGTGGGGGCAGTGATGGACAAGGCTCTGTCTCCACAGGTTTGGAGATTGGTCCTACAGGAGAGAGACAGAAGGTTGACATCGGAGGAGGGGAAGGAACGAGAAGGAGCGTGGTGTGGAGTAGGTCATACTCCATCACCACACTCTGTGTTCCTTGTGTAAAACTGGACAATGTGTCAGTCTGAGAGTGAAGTGCTCTGTTAGGAAAATATGGAACAATAAGATATGTAATATAAGATGGAGTTAGGTTGTTGAGAGCTTTGAAGGTTAGAAGTAAGAATTTGAATTTTATTCTGGACTTGACAGGGAGCCAATGGAGAGAAGCTAAAACTGGAGAGATATGATCTCTGACAGCAGCATTTTGGATTAACTGAAGACTTTATAATGAAATATTTGGACACCAGATAATAACATTATGAGACTTCCCAGAATAGATGGAAGTAGCACATAATCACAGTACCACAGTTTTATGGTCAAATGAGAATGATGAGAATGATTGAGCTATTTGGCTACAATGACTATATACTGTATATGTATGTATATATATATATATCT